AGTATTTCGGATTGCATGTGAAAACCCCACACTGTACCCTAGAAGTGCATTAATGTACATAGTTACCATTCAATAAAAAAAAAAAAAGAAGTCCTGCCATGTCCCTATTCTGCTCAAAACTGTCCTCTAACTCCCCATCTCAATCAGGGCAAAGGTCACACCCTTTCCAAACCCTCTACCCCCACATGCTCCAGCCCCACCTCTGACCTCTTCTTGGGGACTCTCTGTTCAGCCCTCTGTTTTTCACCAAACAGGAGCTACCTTCAAGCTTCAGTGCCATTGTGGAAGAAGTTTCCTGCTGCCTGAAAAGAACTTCCCTAGACATCCTTATTGATAATTCATCATATCCTTCAAATCTTTCCTCAAAGATCACTTGCGACAAGTCTCATGCTGTTCACCCAGCACAATAACCACCATCCCTGTCCCCACACACCTTCTGGGTCATGTCCTGGTAGCACTTACCATTTTCTAGCATAAACATTTTCTGTATTTGGTCTGCTCACAGAAGATAGTCTGTCTCTTTCCACTAGAACACATGCTCCAGAAGGCTTGCAAGTTTTCTGGTTTTAACTTGAATGATGTTTCCTAGATGTAAAAAGTCCTGTATCTGGCAGACAAACATCTCACACTGACATCTTGCTACCTTTGCTTTTCTCCCCAGTGCTGTGTGTGCCCTCTCTCACTCCCCCTTCCACACTGACCCTCCTGCACGCGGCAGCACACAGCGATATTTCTCTCCTTAGAAAAAACAATCCTTGCCTCTAGGCCCATTTTTGCAAACATATATAAATCTAACTTAGAGCCTGCTTTAACAATCCACGAGCTAGGGATGGAGCCAGTACTAAGGTTACTAGAACTAAGGGCAGGGAGGGGGCAGTGGAGCAGAGCAGAAGAGGAAATTTACCTAAGATGAGAAGTGATGGGCTCCCTCCTCTCTGCTAATTCCAGAATATGGTTCCTTTAAAAAGGTTGAGTGCAGCAATGTGGATAAATCTGGAGGACGTTATATTAAGTGCAATAAACCTGGCACAGAAAGAAAAAAGTTGTGTTTTGTGTCAAGTGAGAGCTAAAAAACTGATTTCATGGGTGGCGCCTGTGGCTCAAAGGAGTAGGGCGCTGGGCCCATATACTGGAGGTGGTGGCTTCAAACCTGGCCCCGGCCAAAAAAAGTAAAAACAAAACAGGTAGCAAACAGGATAGTGGTTACTAGAGACTGGGAAAGGTAGTGTGGAGGAGGAACCGAAGAGGGTTGGTTAATGGGTACAAAAACAGTTAGGATGCAAGAAATGAGATCCAGTGTTCAGTAGCACAATAGAGTGACAATTGTTGCTTGGCTGGATAGGGTGGCTCATGCCTGTGGCAGAATTGCTTTAGACCGTGAGTTCAAGACCAGCCAGGGCAATAGTGAGGCCTCATCTCTAAAAACTAGTTTGTAAAAAAATTAGGTGGACCTAGTGTCAGCATCTGTAATTTAAGCTACTCTTGGGGTTAGACAAGAGGAATGTCTGAGCCCAGGAGTTTGATGCTGCATTGACTGAGGATGATGCCTCTGCACTGTGGCCCATACAACAAAGTGAGACCCTGTCACAAATAATACATTTTTTTTAATATGATGATCTATTGTATCTTTCAAAATAATGAGATTTAATTTAATCTAATTTAGAATGTTCCCTACAAAACAAATGATAAATGTTTGAGAAGATGGATATCCTAATTACCCAGATCCGATCATTACACATTGTATGCCTGCATCAAAATATCACATGTAGGCTCGGCGCCTATAGCTCAACTGGCTAAGGCGCCAGCCACATACACCTAAGGTGGCGGGTTCGAATCCCCAGCCCGGACCCGCCAAACAACAATGACGGCTGCAACCAAAAAATAGCCGGGCGTTGTGGCGGGCGCCTGTGGTCCCAGCTGCTTGGGAGGCGGAGGCAGGAGACTCGCTTGAGCCCAGGAGTTGGAGGTTGCTGTGAGCTGTAATGCCATGGCACTCTGCCCAGGGGGACAGCTTGAGGCACTGTCTCAAAAAAAAAAAAAAATCACATGTACCCCTCAATTATAGACAATTATTCTGTATCCATACAAATTAAAAATAAATTAAAATAACATAACCAAAATGTTGGGGAAAAGATCGAAAATGCCATTTAGGAAAGAGCCCTAGGAGGAGGGCAAGAGCTGAACAGTGTGAAAATTCTATCTCTTGATATCACAGACACTCCTGTGTGCAGGAACCACCCTGGGCCATGTGTCAGCCCCTGTGGTCACAGGTCCTGCTGGGACAAACCCCTGGGATCACAGGTGGTACAGTGAGGATGACTCTGCCAAATAGTGATCACATAAAGCACCAACTGGGCACAGGCCCGATCCACACTCGGCTCCTCACAGCTTTCTCCTGTCCCCATCTGCAAAAGACTTAGCACAGCAAACAGATTCTGGAAGGTTCTTAGGTCTCCCTTTTATTTCCCCTCTTGCCTCTCATGCAAAGAATTTGAGAAAACAAATTTACCTTCAAATTCTTATTTTAGACAGGGAAGCAGCTCAGTACACCACAAAGTTGAGACAGGGATGGAGACCTCCCAGCCCTACCTCTCTGTAACAGGAAAGATAATCAAGAAGGGACACAGGTCAGTGTGGGAGAAGGCGTCACAGTGGGCATGGCAGTATGGTGGCCATCCCACTCCTCACATCAAGCAAACAAGGATGCAGAGTCATTCAGAAGCATTTGCAGAAAAACTCAGAGGCTCTTGAAATCACAAAAGGGAGTTGTGAACACTTAGTCCCACACAAGGCAACTGTCTTAGGCTATAGAAAAAAAAAAAGGAACAAATTCAGGTTAGTCACAGCAAATTGTGACACTGAACAACCCACCACACCCTGCTACCTGAAATTGAAACTCCAGTGGGACAAGAAAATGTAGACCCTGCCACTCCCCCTTTCCCTACCTGAGCTCTTCCTCCTCCACATCACAGCAGCAACCACAGCTCCGGTGAGCACAGTTCCAAGGAGAACCAGGCCAGCAATGATGCCCACCATGGGGGTGCTGGGTAGGGAAGATGGCTCTGGAAAAGGACATGAAGGTGAGAGGCCTTATTCCAGCCCTCAGCCCTGACTATGCTAAAGGACTCCAGAAAGGCCCCTGCTTTCCCTGACAAAAGACATGACACCCCCACATCCCTTCTTACCCCATCTCAGGGTGAGGGGCTCCAGCAGTCCTTCATGCTGCACATGGCACGTGTATCTGTGCTCCTCTCCAGAAGGCACCACCACAGCTGCCCACTTTTGGAAGGTTCGATCCCCTGCAGGCCTGGTCTCTATAAGCTCCATGTCCTGGGTCTGGTCTTCCCCATCCCGCTGCCAGGTCAGTGTGATCTCCGCAGGGTAGAAACTCAGGGCCCAGCACCTCAGGGTGGCCTCATGGTCAGAGGTGGGGTGGTGGGTCACATGAGTCTTTGGGGGATCTGAGGGGAAGAGTCAGAAAACTTAGACACTTTGCATCCCTCATGGGACCCTCCAGCAGCGCTCATGTGACATCCTAAGAATGGACAGGACAACTGGGGTGTGGAAGCGAGTGCAAAACCCAGACACCAGCCTGGACTGAGGGTCTGGGATGATCTCCTGTTCCTTGAAATTTCCTGTCTCCAAAGAGGAGAACAGGGTCCTGACCTGAGTGGAGGCTGAGTGACCAGAAGGACTTGAATCAGACTTCCAAACAAATGAGTGGGGCAGAGAACAAGGCCTGAGAGAAAAACTAGTGCAGGGTTAGAGAAAATCAATGATCAGTATCTCAGGAACTCTGTCCCTCTGTTTCCCTTAACTTTGTTCCTTAACTGTCCCAGAGGGAGAGGTGGGCCCTCAGAGTCACTCTGGTATGGGAGAGTCTTCCTACTCTGGACCAGAAGGAGGGCGATATTCTAGTGTTGGCCCATTTTCTTCCCTCCTGTGGACGCCAAGCTGGGAGACCTACAGATGTGGGAGGTGCTCCACGCCCCTCGTACCTGCGCGCTGCAGCGTGTCCTTCCCGTACTCCAGGTGTCTGCGGAGAGACTCCACACACCTGCCCTCCAGGTAGACCCTCCAGTACTCCGCACGACCGCTCGCCTCCAAATAGGGCACGGAAATCTGAGCCACAGAGTCCGTCGCGGTCCAGGAGCGCAGGTCCTGGTTCAGGGTGATATGGTCGACGCCGTCGTAGGCGTACTGCCAGTACCCGCGGAGGAAGCGCCCGTCCGGCCTCAGATCGCAGCCGTACATACTCTGGATGGTGTGAGACCCTGGCCCGGCTCCCGCGGTCAGCCGCGCCCACCGCCCCGCCCCGCCCCAACCACCCAGCCGGGATTTTGCTCTAAACTGAAAACGAAAGCGGGTCAAAGTCCTCGCGCGCCCTTCCCGCGTCTAAGGTTTCACCGGGTCCCGCAGCCTCGGGGAAAGTCGCGGACCCGGAGACAGAGGCGACGCGGGCTTGTCTGTGCGGTGGAGAGGAGTCGTGACCTGCGACCCGGCCCCGGATCTCTCACCTCCCTCGCTCTGGTTGTAGAGGCCGCGCAGGATGTCCACGCACACTGCGTCACTCAGTGCATAGCCCTTGACGCGCCGTGTCTCCTCCTCCCAATACTCCGGCCCCTCCCGCTCCGCCCACGGCTCCATCCTCAGATTCTCTGTGTCGCTGTCTAACCGCACGAACTGCGTGTCGTCCACGTAGCCGACAGCGATGTATCGGGGCTCCCCGCGGCCGGGCCGGGACACGGAGGTGAAGAAATACCGCAGGGAATGGGAGCCTGGGGGCGGGAGGGACTGAGACCCGGCGGGACACACTCCTGGAGCAGCTTCCCTTGTCCTGCATCCCCTTCGGGCGGTCCCCTCGCCCTCCCGGCAAAGGCTGTTTCCTTCCCGACCCCGCACACACCTGCAGAGATCTCGGTTAGGACCAGGGCCGCCAAGAGCAGCAGGAGGAGGATTCTGGGAGCGGTGTACCCCATTCTCGGAATCTGAAGAGATGCTGAGTCCGGAGACTTAATAACCCGGAAACCCACACCCAATGGGAATGAGAAGCGATGCCACGTCAGCGGTATCCGGAAGAAGAAACTGACACGAGCTGGGAGGAAGCGAATCGCTGGGAGACCAGGAATCCTCAGCACCCAGCTTCCCCACCCACGCTACCGCCCTCGGGACTGAGATCCCTGAGATTCCATGCCCAGAACCTGGGTCTTTGCCCTAACCCCTCTACTCTTGCACCAGCCGCTGTTCCTCACGCTCTCTCCTCAGTCCTAGCCCAGGAGCTGTCTGATCCCCAGGCTGGGTTCAGCCCCTACCCTTTTCTCTTCCACATGGAATCCTCTCATTGAACTAGACGCCCTGCTTCCTACTCCTTTCCTCCCGATCTGGACTTTTTTTTTTTTTTAATAGTTGCATATCTTTTATTTTATTTTTATTTTTGCAGTTTTTGGCGGAGGTTGTGTTTGAACCCTTCACTTCCAGCATATAGGGACAGTGCCTTACTCCTTTGAGCCACAGGGGCCGCCCCCGACCTAGACTCTTGTAGAAGAAAACTCACCCTAGGGAACTTGATGCCAGAGTGAACTTGCCCTGGGACTGGAGGTGTAGATGGTGGTTTTCTCTATAAACCTGGAGAAGTTCTGTCTGAACGCACCTGACAGAGACTCATAGGAACCAGTTTCTTGCTTGCTTATTAACTAGAGTGGGTAGCACAATCTAGGTAACCCCTGAATGATCAGGAATTTAATCTGTAACAGAAGTTATGTTGGCCCCTTGATTGCACAATGTGTCGGAACTCGTTACAGTTAGACTTAAAGCTCTCAAATTTTACTTTTCCGGACTCTGTGTCTTGGACTCTGAGTTGTAGTTTAAAATTATCTTCATTCCGTAGCCCATAGCCTGTAATGTGAATTCAGGACATCTCCTCATACAAAGAATTTGTTACTGTGTATTTCAGCTAGGAGTTGTAGGACTTTAATCACTTCAAAGCTGCATGCTCTCCAACAGTCAAATGCCCTTCTCCAGTGCTTATGCACTGACTGTTTTTATGAATTATTCGCATGTGAGCTGTGTGCATATTTTGGAAGGGACACTTGGCACTTTTTTTTCAGGATAATCACCATCTTAAAGTCAACTGATTTGGGACTTTAATTATATCTGCTAATTCTTTCATAGCAACATCTACATTAGTGTTGATTGAACCTGAGGGAAGGTAAATAACCAGGGGGTGGCTATTGGGGGACATCACAGAATCAGCCTAGCATGGCCTGGGTCTTTCCATTGTGTTTAATGGGTCACAGTTGGAAACAGAAATTCAAATGAATAGGTGGTTGTGAGTGGTAATAAAATGCATACTTTTTAGCCATGGAAATTCTTCTTAAATCCTAAAACCAAATGACATGTTTAATATCTTACAATTAATGTAGATCAAATGAAAATTGAAGTACAATAATTCATTCTTGGGAGATGAATGGCCAATAAACACATGAAAAATGCTCATTGCCCCAAACATCAGAGAAATGCAAATCAAATCACCTTGAGATATCACCTAACCTTAGTGAGAACAGTGAAAATACCCACATCATAGGGTGGTGCCTATGGCTCAAGGAGTAGGGCGCTGGGGCATATACCTGGGGTGGTAGGTTCAAACCCCGCCCTGGCCAAAACTGCAAAAAAAAAAAAAAAAAA